AAAGAAGACAGTTGGCGGCTGTAATACGTCCGACCTTCCGAATTGATGAATTGTTTATCTTTGTTAAGCACGCACGCACCTTCTCTTAGCTGGTTAAGTTCAAATTAATATGAGGCATATTGAGCAAGGCGACATATATGTATATATTTCTGCGATATTTAATTCTTCCACAGTAAAATAGCCGCCTGATCTTTTTTGAAGCGGCAGTCGGCACACATTCTGCTCCAAATGTCATCACCGGCATTTCATAAACATCCGTTTGAATTTTTTTGCTACCATCTCCCCAGAACAATCTCTGTGCACACTTATCTTCCAGTCTTACCAAAATTTGATGAAACATATCTTTAATGCCAGCAACGACTGCAATTGCGCCTACATGGAAATTGAACACATATTAGCAGTAGCCCCAAATACTACCTTACTTCGCTTCGTATATGAAGGTTAAGGACCGTTTCGTTATATAAAGCCTCAGTTTCACTAAACACTCCAAAGCATTTTGGGATTAGCGTTGACATATGGTCGTATCGGTAACTTTTGCAAAAGCTTTGAAGCAATATCAGCTTCATTAAAGGGGGTAACTAATTTGTTTGATGTTGTTCGTGGTTTAAAAGAGAGCTCGACGCTTATGTTCATTAAAGCAAAGTCGCCAATGTCTTGTATGGTGTATATTAAGTCAGCTACTCTACTAAGCCAATTACTGAAGTCCTTGACGGTTGGCTTCGGCTTTATCGTCGTATGTTTGTAGCTTACTCCAGTTTCTTATTGAAGGGCAACTTCGCCACAAATTTTTAACATTACGGAAAACGTAATGTTTCATTTGTATCGAAGTCTTCAAAAGTAGGCACTTATGTTCCCTCTCCTTTAGCCTAACTGGCTGGTGAAGGAATCAGTTCGCTTTTACATGGCCATGAGGGATTGCTGGTGATTCTCTTCGGCGACTTTTGAAGAATTTCTCGCACCAGATGATGCGCTTATCGGAGGGTTTGATGCAATGGCTATTCCTCGTTTTCCGACCTTAGTTCCTAAGCGCTAATTTGCTTAGTGAGGCTACACTGCGTTTTTTTCGTCGCACTTTCCATTGTACGGAGTAGCTTTATCGGCAGAAAATTTAAATGAATGAATATATGCTCGGCATGTAAAGAAGGAAATAATTCGTATGGCGTTAGAAGGATGAGTTAATGGGATGACGTCTCGTATGGCAGCTTATAAATTAAATGTTGTTAATTTTGTGTTCCGTATAATTTTCAAGGCGTATTGGCCACTCCGACGTGACGAGTTCCTGGCTAAGCTCTTCTCAAGCCAGAGATTACGCCAATGTCAAGTATATTCGCATTCAAGTAATAGCAGCACAGTTGAATGCAAGTGAATGCGAAACAAACTTTGTCAATTTTCGAATACCAATACCGGAGGTCATGGGCCATTTTCCCTTAGCTTTCCGATTCCATCCTCACTCCTTTGTTGGAGCTCATCCCAGAATCACGGGCAAAGTGCCCGATTTTCTAGAGTTGTGGTACTTCATGACCTTAGTCTTTGTGACTGTTCCTTCAATATAAATCCTTTCCTTCATGATTTTCAGCGTTTCCCGATTTTCATCGGATTTTTTACCTCGGCTCTGTCCGCTTTGTTGGTTGGTTTGCTAAGGAGTGCCGCCGTTTCCCGTTTCTGAGCATACGCGAGAGTTTCCGAAATGTAACTTCCGATTCGCAAATCTATTCCTCTTGATGTAAATGTCTTTTACTACTCTGATGAACCTCAAAGTGCTCATCAGATGAGTACCCAATATCCATGTGAGCGAATTTCACAATTAAGGAAAGAAATTCCAACAAAAATTCATTCAACTTTTGATCGCGATTCTCCTGCTTCTTTCAACTTCAGGCTTAACCAGTAAAATACCAAAATCTTTATGAATATTTACGTTACGAACGTACCATAGTGCGTTCGTTAGTGTTCTTAAAATTTTGGACTGGAACCACTATATTTTATCAATATTAGTTGCACAGGTCGTACCCCACAGTTGAATACCGTACAAATTGGTTTTAATACTGCGTTGTAAATAAAGAAATTGTAGTATAGTTTTATTCCAATCTAAACTAGCTGCTTTTAATTTCATGTGCAGTATTTTTGCCTCTCTTCCAAGTGAGACGTCTACCTAAGTGTACATATACCGAGATATGTAAGATCATTTACTTGGTGAATGTTTATACCACATAAGGGAATTTCAGGACATGATTGCGGTCTTAAAGTAAATGTAATGTGTTTACACCTTTGCTCATTAACTTTAATTCTCCAGTTTTCTAACCGTTCTTCGATGTGGACTAAATCATCACTAATCGTTTTTGCTGTTCTTTTAGGGCATTTATCCCAGCATAAAATAGCTGTCTCATCCGCAAAGGTAGATGTGTGCACTTTTCGGTTTAAAGGGATGTCTGAAGTGTATATGATATATAAAATAGGCCCGAGGACGCTACATTGCGGAGCACCAGCTTTTACCGGATACTCCTTACTGATAAATTCAGATTGTTTAATGGTAAATTGACTTTTAGATAGATATGATTAGATATGACTTAAGTATCATATAAAATTGAACAGGCAGAGCTTTATGTATCTTGTACAGTATACCTTTATGCCAGACTTTGTCGAACGCTTGTGCTACGTTAAGAAAGATTGCACAACAGTACTCCTTGAGCTCGAATGCCTTTCTGATTTCATTAGTTATTCGGTTAACTTGTTCAATAGTACTATGCTTTTCACGAAAGCCGAATTAGTGATCTGGTATCACATTGTTACGGTGGCGAAAAGGAGATATTTTTGATAGCAGATTTTTTTCAAATAATTTGGAAAGACTGAATGGTAAACTTATTGGTCTGTAAGAAGCCGCCTGTGTGTGATCTATCAATAATATCTGCGACCTTTTCCACGCGTTTGGAAGGTAATTTTAGAATGGCATTAATGAGTTCAGAGAGCAATGTTTGTGCAATTGGTTATATTAGTTGCGTCATTTGTCTGGAATACATTACTTAAATGCTTTGCAAAGTAATTTGCGTTTTCTTCGTTACTACGTGTCCCTTTGACCATTTGGGTCCCTGATTGGCATTATCATTTCTATTGGGGGCTTAAATTTCTTTTGTGCTTTCCAGAGTGAGTATTTTTTTTTTAAGAATTTGGTGCTAGTTTTTCTATGTATGCCTTGGCAATGTGATCTTGTGCTTGTTTTAGTACACTTTTCAGATTTCTCTGTGCTGCTTTCAACCGTAACTTTGCAGCTGGAGAGCGATATTCTTGCCATTCTCTCCGCAAATGGCGCTTGTTAGTAGGTTTTTTAATTTTTAGAGTTGCTATGGTTGCCGCAGAAACAAGGACATTATTTAGCATTATGAGACAGCAAAGTCTATTAAGTCAGGTATTTTCTTCCGAAGGGTAGGCCGGTATGCTGGTTGACCTGGGGACATGTAAGTTGTTACGTTTGCTTATAATGATATTGTATAGCTGACGGCCTTTGGAGTTTATTAGACGGGACCCCCAGTGTACATGCTTTGCAAGGTCGTCTCCTCCTGCTAGAAATGTATTACCAAGATTATCAATAAATTTCTTAATCTGATTTTCTGTGATCTTAAATTTTGGAGGCCAGTAAATGGCTGAGAGTTTTAGCTCTTTGTCATAATTATTTAAAGTTACAGAGGTAGCTTGTAGATAATTGGTGGCGTAGGGCTGTAAGACGCAGTGTTCAAGGCGGTTTCTTAGAAGTATTCAGGACGCTTAGTGGGGTAGAATATGAACCCAGGTATATGAAAGTTGTATTTATCCGTCAAGTGCGTTTCATATAATAGCATTACGTCTACATCATACTCTGTTAAAAAGCGTGCCAATTTTAATTTATGTTGGTTCACACCATTTGCATTCCATAAACAAATGCTTAGCACGCTCATTTTTTTTTGCATGAAGATTTGTAGCATGTTATTTTGGGCTTGTCTTTGTCCTCAGTGTTATCCGGCTGATCTTCGATTTTCTCCTGTCTTTCGCCTAGTTCTGCACTGTCTCTTATAAAATTCTCCTGAAGCTGTATGAAGTGTAATTTTGTGAATCAACAGTCTCCTCCTTCTCTACATCCTTCGTAAATTTCTCTTCGTACTCACGACGAAAATAGTATTAGCTTAAGTCAATACCTTCAGCTTCCCACTTCTGATACCCATGGGATCGATTTTGCTAATTGATAATATTCAAATCCTGCGAGATCGATTACTGCATTGTTGTATAAAAGTCACTAAATGTTTAATGATTTCTTAACTGTGGAGATTTCAACCAACGTTTATTTCATCATTCCTAATAAACATGCTTTACAATCACTGCGATATATTTTAACTCTTTCAGTTTCCTTTTTCACAAAACTTTCAGACTATACAACACTCCCACGGCTTAGTCCACTGTACTCTTTTCCTAGGTTTTCACCTCCGCGCTCAAATTGTGGTTGTCTCTCGCTGTACTATGCACTCTTTCAAATACCCTTTCATTTTTTTGTACCCAGTTCTAGATTTTTCTTGCGTGTTGTTACGGGAAACATAATATTCGATACAATTGGTTTAGAATGTGGTAAAGTCTTCTAACTGTATTTTTCATTCATATTGGCATTTTCGCCACAAAATTTTGCCTTGCATTAGTCAATACGACGAAACATTTGAAAGAGTTTTGTAACTTTGTATTATGGCGAAGGTTCTTTTCTAGGGCATTTTCAATATTGGCAAAAGCACATTACTGCAGTATCTATCAAAACTTAAAAAAAAAATTCATACAAAAAATTGCGTTAAGTATAAAAAAAGGCAATAAGAGTGTAACAATGTGATTTTTCAACAGTACTAATTGGTAAAAACATTATCAAATTTTCAACATTTTTATCTAAATACGTTGGGAATTTAAGCGTGATCTGTGAGCTCATCCCTTATGCTCGATACCAACATCGTCACTGAAATCGAGTGAACGACAATCAAATTGTAGCCAACAATACAATTTATTTTTTCCAGTATAGTCGCGTGTGAAACCGCATTAAATTGAAAGTTTTTTAGTTGTCATTACAGACAACCAGTAAGTTGTATGTGGACCTATAAAATGATAGTTAATTATACAGGAGTTTAATAAAAGTTTTACATTTTTCTTAAAGTCGGCTTTTTTAGCAGTGAAATGTCGGGAATTACTAATTTATCTAGTGACAAAAAAGGGGAGCTTATTGAGCAAGTCAAACAACAAATTGCAGTAGCTAATGCTCAAGAATTGCTGACGGTGAGTGAGCACACGCTCTTATGATGGCATATTACACAATCAGTAATACTTAATTGGCATTTGCAGAAAATGACAGAAAAGTGTTTCAATAAATGTATATCCAAGCCAGGATTGCAATTAGATTCATCTGAACAGGTGAGAATTTATGATTTGTTAGTAATATACATATCTTACAGCACCCCATCCGTAATACAATAACTTTTTTATTGCAGAAATGTATTTCCATGTGTATGGATAGGTTTGTGGATTCCTATAATTTAGTTTCCCGCACTTACAGCAATCGCTTGCAACGTGAGCAGAGCAAGATATAGAAAAATTCATATCCAGTTAATTTCTCCGTGTCTTCATGTGAAGAATCTGTTTTTCAACACTTTTCTAATAAGTTTTGTTTTATAAACAAGATTTTATAGAAAAGGTATAAAATTACTTTATAATACTTCTAGCTGTTATTTAATTTTGTAACAATTAAAAATAGTACAATAAACTACTAAATGTATTTGCCGTTGCTGTTGTTTTGTTGTAAAAGCAAATATATTCCTCAAAGTAGTTCTTGGGGAATCTTATGGGCACGACAGTCCTTGATCGGGTAAAAATCCGGGTCGTTGCTGTATAAAGACCCGGCTGTCGCCGGAACCATTGGTTTTTAGTCACATCTTACGAGAGTCATTCCTTACTGCGGGTAAATTCTTGAACCCCTAGCCTTCCAGGGCAGTGTTGGCCGTTAGAGCTGAGTGGTTAACAGTGTGATCTGACCTAAGGAAAGCTAGAGTTGGATTCGCGGTTCGACCAATATGCAAATTGCAAAATAAAAAAATAATAATTTTTCTAATTGTGCTCACTACTCGCCAGGCGGAGTGTATTCCAGGCATGAAATAAAAGCCATCAACGGGTGAGCTCAAAATGTCAGTTGCAAAGCAACCATACATTGTCTGGCATTCCTCGCATTGTCACAACTCTCAATACAGCCGTTTCTACGTACCGAAGTTGACCCGGATCTTATCCGGCCAAAGGCCGTCACCCTTTGGGCGATCTTACCCCGTTTAGATCAACAAGTAACACTAATTGTAGTTCGCTAACGGAGCAACACCTAGCAGCTGGGCTGCTGCAAATCCTTCTTATCAGTGCTGGTCAACTCTCACGACAGCCGGTTCTACGCACCGGAGTTGACCCGGATTTTATCCCGCCAAGGGCTGTCACCCTTTCGGCGACCTAACCCCGTTAGGTCTTCAGGTAACCTTAGTCTAAGTACGCCAAGAGAGCAACACCTCGCAGCTGCGTTGCTCCAAATCCTTCTGATCAGGGCTGGTGTAGAAACCAACCCGGGAATTCTGCTGCGTGTGTCAAAGAAGACTCCACCACTCATCCACCTCGGTTAGATGCACCCAGTGCAATGGTTGGAGTCATCTTAAGACCTGCTCAGGCCTTAAGACCCACAGGGAATGGACCACAAGTTATGTGGCCCCATGCTGCCAGCGTCCAACCGCCCCCTCAGCCTCCACGGCAGTGCCTTCAGCACACATACCCACTCTGGGTAATCTGCAGACCTCCACGGTCTTACGGAGCTCCCCGCAGCATGATTCCCCCCAACCTCCACCCCCATCCCCACCCACAACCAGCTCCTCATCCTCCTCCCGTGCGAGGGCTACCCAGCAGCTCCTAGTCCCCCGCACCGTCTGTTCCGTGTGTCAGACCATAGTGCGTCGGAACGTGACCTCAGTCAGATGCAACTTCTGCTCTGGCTGGTGTCACTTTCGGACGTACTCTGGCCTGCGCACCACCCGTGAGTGGAGCGATGCGTACGTTGCCCCATTCTGTAGGAGTCTGCCCCTGCTTGTCTCTACAAACCATCCGCCAATCAACACCAATGTGCGGAACCAACTCGCGGGTAGTACAGCAGCAAACACACACCACCCACGCATCACTCCCTCACCCCCATGAATCACGAACGTTCCCCCGAGACAGGCCCTACTTCTACAATTCAACTGCAACGGACTCCAGGGAAAGATTGACGAGATAGTCGACTATATGAGCCGGGAGCACCTGTCAAATGCTGCGATCCAGGAAAGCAAGTTGACCGCCAGATCAGATCTTCTGAACAGGGCCGGATACAACATAATCCGCAAGGATCGCGAGCGAGACCATGGTGGGGGCTTAGCGTTCATCCTGCACAACACCGTGCAGTATCGTCTCATCGATGGCGACATCGACCGCAGGGATACTACCCTAGAATGTCAGGGCATAGCTATCCGGTCAGGCGATGTCGAGCTCGAAATATTTAATATATACATTCCTCCAGTTACAAGTTGCCAAGCTGGATACACCCCTGACAGGCGAAAACCGTTTGGTTTTGGGCGACTTTAACGTGCATCACGATCTTTGGCATTCTAGCCTGTTAAATGACCGTAGAGGAAAAATGACGTAGAGTTATGGGTAATTGCCAAAGCTCTCCAGACATAACAACTGCGAGTGCTGGTCTGATAAACAGTATAGTCTGGCGACCTGTACTGACGTTAGCATCGGACCACTTGCCCATACATATCTCGATTGACAGGCCTTCCGACTTTGTTTCCGCGGACCACCTGACATTCGTTAACTTTAAAAAAGCTAACTGGCCCGGATTCACGGAAGTGCTCTTCCCACTCCAACTGACGTCACCGCTGGTGAACGCTCATTCCGCAGGGTCGTCGTGACCGCTGCCGCCCGCTTAATCCCGGCAGGCCGAATCGCGGAAATCCGCCCAAATTTTCCGACAGAAGCGGCGGTACTAGCAACCAGGCGCGACACCCTCCGAAGCTCCGATCCCGGTAATCCCCTAATTAGGGACTTAAACGCGGAGATTTGAAGAGTTGTTAACAGTCATAAGCGGAAAAAGTGGGAGGAGCACCTAAGGACCTGCAACCTCTCCTCTGGGGCAACCAAGCTCTGGGCTACAATCAAATCGCTGTCTAACCCGACGAGACGCGATGACCGGGTGGAAATTTCATTCGGTGATTGCGCCTCGTCGGACCCGAAGAGATGAGCGAACTATTTTAGCCGTCTTTTAACATGGCATCCCTCGGTAGACAAAGCGAAACGACGTGTGACCCGCCGTATGCGCAAACTGCCAAACACCAGCGCGGTGCTTGATTTCTCCAGGGAGGAGGTTCAGGGGGTCATCGGGAAGGCGAAAGCCTCCAAATCCATCGGCCCCGACGGAATAAGCATGCTGATTCTGAAACATCTTGGACCAGCGGGAGCAGAATTTCTCTCGAGGGTCCTCAATTTGTCTTTGACCACCCTGAAGATACCCGACGTGTGCAAAATGGGTAGGGTGGTCCCGCTACTAAAACCGGGGAAACCAGCCAACAAAGAAGAGTCCTATCGGCCGATAACTCTCCTCTCCCCAGTAGCGAAGACACTTGAGGCCTTACTGCTCCCGACCTTCACTCACCATCTGCGTCCAGCAGCGCATCAGCATGGCTTCCGAAAAGTGCACAGCACCACAACAACACTTAACGCCATAAACACCCAGATAGTCCATTGCCTCAACCAAAACCGACCCTGCGCGCGAACTGTCCTAGTAGCACTGGACTTGTCAAAAGCTCTTGACACAGTCAATCATTCAGTGCTACTAACGGACATTGAGGAATCCTCATTACCGCCGGGGTTGCAGAGGTGGGTCATGGGCTACCTGAGAGGTCGACAATCATCGGTAATATTCCGAGGTAAAACCTCTAAACCCAGAAAAATTAAACAGGGGGTTCCGCAGGGTGGTGTCCTCTCCTCGCTACTGTTTATCTTTTATATTTCGAAACTCCCTCCACCACCAGAAGGAGTTTCCCTAACATCGTATGCCGATGACTGTACGATAATGGCGTCCGGCCAGGATATTGATGACCTCTGCTCGAAAGTAAACGGCTACCTCGCTGTTCTCTCGCACTTCTTCACTGCAAGACAATTACGAATCCAACCGACAAAATCCTCGGCTATCCTTTTCACCAGCTGGACGAAGGAATACAGGCTTGAACTAGATGTAAAGGTCGATGACGAAAAAATTCCGACGGTAAATAACCCAAAAATATTGGGAGTAACTCTGGACAGCCTGCACTTCGCATACGACCGCAATTGCCGCAAAACTCCAGAGCCGCAACAAAATACTCAAAGCGCTAGCCGGCAGCACCTGGGGTAAAGATTAAGAAACTTTGCTGGCTACTTACAAAGCAATTGGCCGGCCGGTCGTAAACTATGCTGCTCCGATCTGGACGCCGGGGACGAACGGGACGCAGATGAAGAAGCTACAGGCTTGCCAAAACACCGCCCTCAGGACTGCGACAGGAAACCTCCTGATGTCGCCGGAGCATCACTTGCACAGGGAAGCATCTATGCTACGAGTTAAGGAGCATAATGCTTTGCTATGCAAGCAGTTCCTACTGGGATGCTACCGCATCCCAGGGCCTACCATTAGATGACTTCGGCGACTTAGACTGATTAAACCTGTGCCTAAGCGGGGTTAGCGAGCCGATACAACAACATCAACAACAACAACAACAACATCAGTGCTGGTGTCGAAACCGACCCTGGTCCGAACCCAACTCCTCCACCTCGGTTAGGTGCAACCAGTGCAATGGTTGGAGTCAGGCCTGGCCTGCACAGGCCTTGAGACTCGTAGGGAGTGGACCAGTGTGTCGGAACATGATCTCATTCAGTTGCAATTCTCGGTTTCATTTTCGGATATGCTCTGGCCTGCGCACCACCCGTGAGTGGGGCGATGCGGATGTTGCCCCGTGCTGTAGGAGTCTGCCCCCGCCTATTCCGACAAACCCTTCGCCATTTAACACCAATGTGCGGAACCAACCTCAGCGGGCATTACAACAGCAGCACACTCCATCCACGCATCACTCGCTCACACCCCGCATCACAAGCGTTCCCCCGAGACAGACCCGACTCCTACGATTTAACTGCAACGGAAAGATCGACGAGATTGTCGGCAACATGAGCCGGAAGCACCTGCCAATTCCTGCGATCCAGGAAACGAAGTTGACTGCCCGATCAGATATTCTGAGCCGGGCCGGATACAACTTAATCCGCTAGGATCGCGAGCGAGACCATAGTGGGGTTTGGCGTTCATCCTGCATAACACCGTGAAGTATCATCTTATCGACCGCGACATCGAAGGCAGGGATACTACCCTAGAATGTCAGGGCATAGCTATCCAGTCAGGCGAAGCCGATTTCGAGATATTTAATATATACATCCTTCCACTTACAAGTTGCCCAGCAGTATACACCTCTGATATAGGTGGGGAAAACCGTTTGGTTTTGGCGATATTAACACGCATCAGCTTCTTTGGCATTCTAGCCTGTTAAATGACCGTAGAAGAATGGAGCTGGCAGAACAGATAGATGATTCAACATTCTGCACAATGAACGACAACACCCCCACCAGAGTAATGGGTAATTGCCAAAGCTCGCCGGATATAACAAATGGGTGTGCTGGTCTGATGGACAGTATACTCTA